AACAAAGCCAAAGAGCAGGCAAAGCAACGGAGCTGCAGAGGACAGCAATGAAGATGAGTTGGGAGAGATTGAAAACAATCACCAAGCAATGTCAGGGGAGGAAGTTAATCCTAAACAGCGGGGAAACACAAAGCATGTTTGGGAAATAGGGAGTATCCAGCCACCTGTACCAAAGCATAAACCGAACTATAGGAGAGAAAGTGGAGACAGAAGATGATCACCTTTTTGTGAGAGCCTTTTATACCAATCTGAAACTACCACAGGTTTCCTTCTAACAGTTGGATCAAAGGAAGGTACTAAAATATATTCTGTGGGATAATAAGACTTAAAGCAAGGGTTAGTAAATATAGTAGACCTTAAGTGGGAGATGATAAGGGAAGAGGATTCAAGTATACTGCCCTGGAAACGGTGCTATGAACATAGTATTGGGTTGTAGAGAGGAAACCGAGGGAAGAAACAGAATAAACCCTGGTGGCTGATTCAGCGGAGATGGAAGGCTCATAGAGAAGGGTCTGCTTCAAACAGTTTCAAACTGTGTGTCTTCAATAATGGTTCCCCCATTTGAAAAATAACTTGTTTTTAAAGAACAGAATATGTATTTTTCTAGTGCACTTTTGGTTTTTCCTTTACAGTGCCACTAAAAACCTGCTGCTGGGTCTGAAATCCTAGCAATGAAAATGTCTGTCTAGCACTCGGGTAGGGCACTGGGCTAGACTGTGCACAGAGAGACTTGCACACCACAGGAGAAATTAAAATAGCCATTAGCTTAAGAGGAGAGTGCACAGAAGAAAGATGATCAAAAGAGAACCTGGTGAAGGTTGCATAGAATGTTCAAAGAAAAGAAGTAAGGGTCATAAAAAGAGTTACCCGGAAACCGAGAGGGTACAAATTAATTCCGTTCCACAGACAGCTGTGGAGAAGAAAGCAGCCATCATCAGATATTGAGACTGTATATTTGAGTCCTCAATCTAGATGTTAGGAAGTTGAAGTAATAAGGGCGGCGGCGGGGCTGCATCCCCAACACCCCAGCCGCCTGCCCGGCTAGCTTATGCCCCGAAATAATTACACGGACACTGTATTCTTTTAAACACCGCTTGGCCCATTTCTCTCTAACCTCTTCTAGGCTAATTCTCACATATTAATTTAGCCCATTTCTAATCATCTGTGTTGCGCCCCTAGGTGCGCTTACCGGGAAGATTCTAGCCTATGTCCATCCTGGGTCGGAGCTTCTTAGCGTGCGTCTGCCCAGGAGCCAGGAGCATGGCGTCTCTCTCAGGTGTCTGCTCCCTAGAGGAAAGCGGTCGAGTCTCTGAGCTCACTTCCTCTTCCTCCCAGCATTTTGTTCTGTTTACTCCTCCCACCTATCCTCTAACCAATAAAATGGGCCAGGGCAGTGCCTTTATTAGCCAATGACCTTCCTCCATCAGGAAGTGAAATGATAACCAGGAATCAATGGCTCAGATCGCCCAGGGACCATAGTCAGCAAAGGAGCATTTGGTGAGCAAAGGAAGTACCACAGGGAATTCAGGAGGATGGAGCAGAGGCATTAGGACCTTTAACCAAATGAGCCATTTTGAAAAATAAAAGGGTGATTCAGTGCTCGACAATAAAACAATTTATAAAAGCGCTCCGTTAAACAACCTTAAGACATTTTGAGGATAGTAAGGGCCTCCTGAACAAATAATACTCAGGTCTTTATTCTTCATCTCTTCTCTCTTTTCCACCTCTTTCTGAATCTCTCTCGCTCACACACACACACACACACACACACACACACACACACGTTGGAAAACGGTCTCTAAGGAGGAGAGCCATTGGGTCAACAACTCAATGTGCTATGAAATATTGAAAAGCAATGTTATCCATGTATTATGAAAACCACCAAGGACAAGGAAAACAAAATGACAAAAATGAGTAAGAAAGATTGTGTATTGTCCTAAAATATGTTTTCAAAACAAAGCAATCACTATCTGCTCTAAAATTCTTCAAAAATCTTGAACGCATATTTTATCTTGTATGGTTCATTAATGTCCAAAACAGTTATGTCCTTATTTTATGAATGAGGGTGTAAACATCAACCAGAAAAGGAAGAAAAAAAAAAGGATGGCACATAAGGGAAGCAAATAGGCGTCTCTGAATTGTCATGCTTCACAATATTTATTGAATGTGCCTTTTCATCTGTGTGACACAGAGAAAGTAGAGTATCTTACACAATGAAAAGCTTTTCAAAGTTCAAAATAAATGGATTTTTGACTATTACTCATGGGGAATTGCTAATTTGACTTTCCTTGAACCTTAATAAACATAGAACTTAAGTTGAAGCCACAAAACATCCATCAATTCATGATTCAAAATGCCAGCAATTTTTCTCACTACTGCTGAAACCTGGATTTTTTTCTCCCCATTTTTACTGTAGATTACATCAGATAACATCTGCCATCCCTAAGGTGGATGACACAAATTAAGGGCACCAATGAATAATTTCATAAGGCTTTTTTCTCTGACCTTCTTTCAGATTCTTTTACATATCTGACTGAAATCTCCTTTCTCGCTCTCTCTCTCTCTCTCTGTCTCTCTCTCTGTCTCTCTCTCTCTCTCTCATACACACACACACACACACACACACACAAGCACACACAGGTAGTAGAATTGTGTTGAGTTTTTACAACAGAGTATCAGAATAATGGGCCTAGTTGATAGAACGCAAAACGTATTGGTATAGTTTTTGAGACTAACATGGAATTTGATGGGTGTCAAAGTCTAGTATTCCCTACACCATCAGTATTCTGTGGTCAGTCGCATTCCCATGGTCAGCCCCGATGACCTCAAAGGTGATGCTTGAATACACACTAAATGCTTTCATGTGTTGAAAAGTGTAAGGGTGAAAGTTTAGGTAACATAATTAAACTCTTATGCTACCGTATCTGAGGTTTTCCCCCTATTGGCCACCTCGAGTGTGTGTGCATGGGGGTCTCTTTCACCTCTCCAAGGAGCATTTTTAGAGTTTTGCCTCCAAATAACGTCATAATACAAGAGCACACATACGAAAGACACAGAGAGAAATTTCTCCAAATATTTTCATTTCTCTATCAGATAATCCTGTTATTGTGTGAATGGATCCTTTTATAATTCCCTAGTCCATGAGTGTACGTTTGAGGGGAAAACCAAACTCCACTTACTGAAGGCTAGACACAGTTTTTAAACCAAAACCTATAACCTTTAAAATTGACAGTCATTCATTTCTCCCCATGGCAATCGCAAGTTTGAGCAGAGATCACCAAAGTCCTGAAAAAGCATGTGCAATCACCTCTAGTATTGCCCTAGAACAAGACCGGCAAAAACAAGAGTGATGCTCCCTACTATCTGCTGCTTCCTTTAGTCTTATCATCACACACTAATTACCTAAAAATGTTTGCAAGAAACTAAAGATGCAATGTTAAATTTTTGCTTCAATCCTCATCTTAGCCAAGATATAATCAAATCTTTCTATCCTCCGAGAAATCATTGCATTTGATGCTAGAGCTGATATCACATTTTCCATTTTTAATATTTTAATTGTTTCATGTTCCTCAGGTATGATTTCATTTGTGTTTTTCGTTTACAGAAACTCCACCCACCAGGACACTGGACTGAGAGTGGACACGTAAATTTAATCCCCATCTGCCTGACTAAGCCCAGGTCAAGAGCTGTTCTTACTGAGGAGACAAGTATAAGCCACCAACTCTAGGGACTGTGACCCCATAGCCTGTCTCAGCTGTACCACACTCCTGAGCTTTGAGCATACATGCTCTCCTGAATGAGAGTGAGCTGATCACCCCAGTCACAGCAGAAGAAACCCCAACGATAGTTTCTTTATACCCAACCTACAACCACCCCTGACATTTGAAGTGTCCTTCTGACCAAAACAGGAACCTATGAAGAACCAAGACTTTTTAAAATTTCACGCTCAAGTGAGACAAGCACCGTCCTGCCTCCCAGGAGGGAAGGGACTGATAGATGTCCTCTTCTTGTGGTCATGTATTTCTGAGTGCTGGACTCAATTGTTCAAGTGCCTCTGTTTCCTCCAGTAATAAAGATAATGCACGGGAAAAAAACTTACAACTTTATAGCCCTTAAGCCCACATTCTGACCCCATAAAGCCAAATGACACGGTAACTACCGGTGACTTCTAGCCTTATATAATCTTCCTCACAACCACCTTGATCCTATTAGGGTCCTCTAAAAAAAAATCTGAATGCATCAAAGCCATCTAAAAACAAACTGATGGAACCCAAGATGGTCTGTGGGAGGACATCAATTCTGCCTTAGGTCCTCCTAAACTCAGAGAACAGTTCCTATTCCTGCGTGTTTCCCTGAGAGCCACGCTCCTTGCACAATGCCCGGTACCTTTCTAAGGCTGTACTATTGAAAAATTATTTCCAAGAGTCACTGAAGACTGTTTTCTCCGAACACACAAAACTGAAGGTAGCACTAGAACAAGACAAGCGCGTCTGCAAAAGGCTCTGATGTGGGCAACATCCCGTCTGTGTATTACCCAGGGGATCAAAATAGAGTTCTAGTGAAGTGTTTGGGAGCATCAAGGAAGTGTGGAGGGGGTGGATCAACACCATTTTGGCTCATTTATCCCCAGGTGTTAGGGATAGGAAGCGTGCCTGTGAAAGGCATCTGGTAAAAGCAAACACAACCTCAGAAATTTTCAGGGAAGGCAAAAAGTACGCACGGGATCGCAGCGGACCCTGCCACCAGCGAGTTTCAAACACACTTCAAGCAATTTTTTTTTCCCTCCTAGACCTTGCCATGCGCCCCCACTCCTTGGCGCCCCCATGCCCCCGCTCCCACCTCCATTTCCTAAGCCCGTCTGGGTCCGCACTCTCTCATGCAGCGATGGCAACAAGCGTGGCCCCTCCCCCGGGGCGCCCCCAGCGTGGAAGGGGCACCGATCATTGAGAGGGAAGGACAGTGCCAGCGGGGCGCCGGATTGCAAGCCCATCTCATCCTACCGCCTGTGGAGCTCGCCTCCTCCAGCTGAGCCGAGATGCTTTCCACCCTCCTGACGTTCATCTTGGGGTACGCTGGGTTCGAGAGCGGTACTCTTAGAGTCCACTGGCCCAGGGGCGGCTGGCGATGGGTCTGGCACCGGTGCGCACAGCCTCTCTGTCCTGGGCGACCAAGAGCTGGAGGCGGCGGCGGCGGGCAGGGCGCGCGGAGCCGCTGCAGGTGCGGGCGGAGGCCGGCGGGGGGCGCCGGGGGCGCTGTGCTGCACTGGGTGGCAGGGATGCGCGGGTGGTGGGGGCCAGGACGCCCGCCGCTGAGAAGCCTGGGCGCTGTACCGCCAGACAGAGCGAGGCGCCCCCCGCCCCTGGCAAGCTTGGCACCGCCTCTGCCACCTGCCGCCAAGTCACCGAAGGAGAAAGTGGAGGGGGCTGTAGAGGCGCCTCAGGTGACAGAACAGATGCACCCAAAAAGATACCCGAAGCAGTTTAAGGCTAAGCAGGGCTCTTTTTGAGATTTTCTTGGGACCCCTTTTTGCATCGCGTAGAACCTGGCACTAGGCTGGCTCCAGATGAAGAAGCTCTTTGGCAAAGAACCATACTGCGGGGTCCCTAGGGGGTCAGACTCTGTCCTGTGGAGTGAGAAGCTGGGTTCGAAGGACACCAGAAGGCAAGTGCAAGGAGACGCCCTTCTCAGGAACCAGGCACAGTGCCAGCAACTCCTAGACAGGAAAGTTCCCAAGTGCAACTCAGTCATGAGACTGGGAGAGAGGTTGGGGAAAGTGACTTCTAGACACTGACTAGACAGGGCCAAGGTGAACCATATCACTTTGCACGGACCAGCCTGGCTGTCTGGGAGACATTTCCCACAAGCTTCTTCTTCAAAGGGTTTCACTTGAGGTCCTCTGTTGGAAGGCATGGCTGAGATCCCACGGGGAATTTATCATCCAAGGCTGCTTGTCTTTTTAAGGGAACCAAGGCCCACAATAGCTGGAAGGCAGAGACAACCCAATAAACCACTTGTGGTCATGGTTACTGGTGAAGAAAGAGGTGGGCATTAAAACATAGGCTTCTCTGCCCTCAGGAGTGAAGTTTATGGTGCCTCTTTTAAAAAGAAAGGTCGAGCTGACCGGTTCTGTGGGCCAGCAAAGCAAATTAGCATTTGTTCACATGCTCAGCTGCAAGGTCAATTGGCCCTGACACAGTTGAAGTAGTTTCTAAGTGTGTGGAAAGCCATTCTTTCTCCCTGTTTCCACCTGGCAACAAATACCATGAAACCTTGTTTCTTTCTCGGGATAGGATTCAATTGTCGCTTGTCCTTCTTACACCCCTAGTCCCTTAAGAGACTCCCTTAAAGTCCTGGGGTGTGTTCCCTGTGTTCCTAACGTTGAGAAGACCATGCCAGCACCTCCATTGCCACTATTCAAATCCTACTTTCAATACTTTCAGTGACTCTATCCAAACTATTTACATGAACTGTGGGCTGGAATCTGCTTTATAGATCTGTTGTGATTTAAAGAAACAAGAAGTCAGGGCAAACATGACTTAAGGAGAGGGGAATGAAAACAGCTGCGAGGGCAGCTTGTTTGGGAACACTGAGGAGGCTGCTGTGGTTGGAGCGGAGAGGACGGCAGAGTAATGGGATGGAAGAGGCAGAGGAGTAGATCACATGCAGTGTAAACATCTATTAAGTATACAAAATTCTAAGTAGCGTACGCGCTTTACTTTCTCCTAACAAGCCTCCTCTCTGTCCTTCCGAGTCAATTCTCCTATTTTATTCTGGTCATGTGGCATCCTAGGATTTCAGCAATCTCAAAGCAAGTCTCCAACTAGCAGTCCGTTCCATAAACAGCCACAGCTCTCAATCTGCAAAGGATCACTAATGCCTCTTCGGCTGTAAACACCAGCTTCTCTCTACTGACTTCCAAAACTACCTTCGTGTATGGGGTAGGAACCAGCTGGCTGGGCTGGAATCTAAGTGTGTGTCCAAAGCGAACAACCTAACCTTTCTCAACTCAAAACTGTAGAACACAGTAGTGCCTGCCCCTGTGAGCTTCTGGCAAAGATTAAATGAGACAGAATGCACGGTGTGGCTCTGGATGGCTCTGGCACATAGTAAGGGTTCAAAGAGACACTAGGAAGAGAGTCCCCATCATGGCCATTATCATTACCATCACCACACTGTATCCTGATGAAATCAAAGATTAAAAAAAAAGTTCCTAACACAGATTTCCTCTCCTTATTTACACCATGAGAAATTTACAACTCCTTTGCCATCCGTAAAATTCGGAGAATATTTTTTTGTGTGTGTTGATCCACTTTTCAAGATCTGTTAGTGAGGATTAGTCCCTTGGGTCCTTGTATGTTTACATCTGGACTAGCTATAAATAAGGCAGCGAAAGCATCTAAAGTGGACACTACACTGGGAAAGTTGCAATATATTAAGCTTCCAAAATATTTGTGTGGGATCTTGGTTACTGTAGCATTCGCGTCAGACGTCTCTATAGGAACTCTTAGTCTCGGACAAAATAACACAGAAAAAGTCTCGTTTGCTGCCACTGGTTTTAAACTTACTTCATTTTATGTGTGTAAGGGTCTTGCCTACATGTATGTCTGTGTTTCTCAGGTATATCTGGTGCCTATAGAGTCCAGAAGAGGGTATCAGATCCTCTGGAAATTCAAATGGAATTGCAGGTGGTCTGCCCTGTGGGTGCTGGTGTTGGAGTCTATATCTTCTGCAAGAGTAGCCAGTGTTCACAAGCACTAGGCATTCTCTCTAGTTTTGTTTGCTGCCATTTGTACTATCATTTTCAGTACTTAGCACTGAAGGGCTGTCTTGCTCATTCCACCCTTGACTGGCTCTTCAAATGTCCCAACTAGAGGAAATCTTCGTCCTCATGGCCAGTCTTCCAAACTCAATATATGCAGAAAGATTCCTGTTTTTCACTGCTAACTCCAGATTACTCTTCACGTTGCATGTGTCTAGTCTATGGTGCCTTCTCAGGAGCATATAAAAACCAGAAACCAAAATCATAAGTAAACTATGTGCCAGCCATTAACCTCAGATTTATATGAACATTGCTTCATTTAATCTTTACAAAACTCTATTGGGCCATACCTATTTCTTTTTCCAGAAAGTCACCAACCATATCTCAGCTTCAGTTCTCCATCTGTTATAAAGAAGAATGTGAAGTTCAAATAAGATAATAAAATGAAATCTATTTATAACTAAGGAATATTGCCGGAGTATCCAGGATGACTTTATTGTGCTCTGAACTATTACTGCCCATAACTTACTGGTTATTTCTGAAAGACCCCTACAATTCAGCACAGCTCTCCTTTGTTCAACAGGGCTTATGCAATAATAGTAAAACTGAGAGCATTTAATGTTGATTTAGTGCTTCCTATGCACCGTGCACTCTATTAAAACTTCCATACCACTGCATTGCTCCACACTAAGAAGGAATGCATTATATAGCTATTTTGTGCTGATTGAAAAACAAACCGAAACTCACGGACATTAAGTTGCCCGAGATCAGTCAGCTCTGAAGAACTGCAGTTGAGAGTTGTATTCAACTCTTGACAAACTCGGGGCTGTCAATCACTTCCAGATGGTCCTCAGATGCTAACATATATAAGAATCACACAGGCACCAGGTGAGCAAACTGCTCCAGCCTTGAAGACGGAGTCATTGAGTTGGGAAAGAAGTCTAAGGCTGTCCCTTACGTTAATACATTTTATCTTTTAGAGAAGTTTGAAATGCTTGGAAAACAAACAGAAACTCACAGCTCCGTCCACAGAGTCTTCCTTCCTAGATTTTCCCAATAATGCCTTGAGGTTTCTCTGCTACAATTCAGAACTGACAGGCCAACAGCGCAGGGCATTTTACTAAAGTCCGGAGTTTATTTAGGGCTTGTGAGTTTATAGGAAGAGAGATATTTCTCAGAGAGAAAGCCAGGTGAAGATAAAGTGCCTTTCTGCAGAAAGAACTCTACTTTACAGCTTGATCTGGGCCTCACAGCCCATAGAGCCGGGGGAGAATAAACCACTGTTGTTTAAATTACTCAGTCTGAGATGTGGTTGTTGTTGTTAAGACAACATGTCAACAAATCACAAAAGCACAGCCTGGGATACTGTGTCTTCATCCTCGTCTGGGATCCTGTCATGAATTCATAGTCTTCATGTGACTTGGATTTCTTGAATCCTCCATATCCTATTTACCAACACCCTCAGGCCCTTCCAGGTACACGGATGACATTCGAGAGGAAGCTGATCAGCTCAACCCATGCTATGTGACCCTAGCCTTCCTCTGGAGCCGACTGGGTAGGAAAGAGTTGATATAACAACCCCAATCAGTTCTCTGGATTTGACCTTGGTAAGCCAAACCTGTTTCCCTCTTAAAGGAATGAAAACATTCATTGCCTATTAGTGTTCAAGCAACAAGTATTACCAACCATGGGCACGTGACTGCACCAGCCACACTCTCAATTTTTGTATGATTTCTCAGCATTCAATTAATCTGGAAATCAATGTTGAGATTCTCACATTAAAGAAAATATTAATGTGCTACAAGGACAAAGCTACAAAAAGCACTGAAGGACCACGAGGCTATTTCTGACCCTTCTGTGCAGTTAAGGTGTGCTCAGCTTGATTGTTCGTTGTGGTTGTGAAACAGAGGCAGGTGAGATGCTATTAGCCCCACTTTGCAGATGAAGAAGCTGACCCCCATGGAGATCAAGCAACTTTCTTGAATTTTCATAAGGCATGACACACAACCAGGTCACCAGCTTCCATCACCTGACATCTTTCAGCACTCGGTTCGGTAAGTCTTGCCAACTTTATATAAGCTGGCGTGCGGCCAAATGAACTGTAATTCTCTAAGCACTGAAATTCAGACTTGGCTTGCAACTCTGTCGTGCAGGGTAAGTCCATATTAAAAATGAAAAGTTATTATCTCACTGAACGGCATTTCTCCTGCCTTGTGGACTTGAGCAAATATGCCCGCTACAGTCTACATGTGGCAGTAGAGTGGATTAGGGGATTTGCTGTCCAACAGGGATTTACTTTAGCCGTAGAACTCATCAGAAACTTAAATGCCATTAATGAAGTTAATGTTGAGATGACTTTTACCTGGAATGTATCTCCAGAAATATGTTCTAATTGGGAAACAGGTTTGTTCAATTCTACATTGCTTTATACTTTTGTTCTGGCATTTTTGTTAGCTATTCACTGAACTGCATAAATGATAAACACAGAGAAGTGGGGAGTATTTGCTGGTTGTTTATTAGCAGTTTTAATGAAGTTGTACAAAAATAATTTCAATAAAACTAAATGATTGGTTTCTAGAGCAACCTTGTGAGTCAAATCTGGGTATAGCTGATCACTGTTTTAAGCCACTTGCTCTCTGTGCTAGACTCTGTGCTGGTTGGTTTATGTTGGTGTGATACAACCTGGACATCTAGGGAAGATGAAGTCTTAGCTGAGAAATTGTTTCCTTCACACTGAGCTGCAGATAA